TTACCACGAGATGTCGCTGCTTCATGAGGCCATGAAGCTCGACAAGCGTAGCTGTATTTACTGTATGTCGTGACGCTACTAAACCACGTGTCGAAACGCAATCGGTGTAAATACACTACAGTCAGAATTAATTTATTACAAAGAATATTTGCAACTGTTCGTTATTGAACGGCAAATCTGTCTTTTGTCTGATATTCAATGTTTATATTGCAGCTTTAAAAGATGACTATTGTTCATTATTTTTATCAAAATATTTCAAATTATACAGAATATTATAGAAGTTATTGTAAATAATGTGTAAATTTTTTTTCTTAAACTCTTTTAATCTCAAAATTTTTCTGCTGAATTTTCAATCTCTTACTCAAAATTTCTGTTTACTTTTGATATATATTTAGAAAAATTACTTTACATAAGAGTTTATCACACCAAGTAACCAATCTAACATATTTTAAAATTATGTACAGTACAGTAAAAATAAAAAATTTTAAAAATGTCTTAGATTGGTCACTCGATGTGATATACTCCTACGTAACTATATAACTACCTTTAACGTTATATAACTGCCTTTGTAGTTATATAAATCAAATACTACAATATAACGAACACTAAAGCGAAAAGCATAAAATGTGTTTGGTTATATCAGCCTTCCATTGTTACGTTTATCGCGGTACTTGAAAGATACGCAATAATACAAGTTCATCCATCAAGTAGTAAGCAATTAAATCAGCCATATAATATCTTAAAATATTTAAGATATCATTTTTTCCTTAATATTAACTCTAAGGAACTGTACCATTCGCAGCCGAATATTAAAACAGTAGAGCGTTGTTTATCCGAAGGTCGGTTATCCGAAGGAATTCCAGTCGACAAATTTAAATTTTCGCCAGTGCTGTGGCGCTGTAATCTTTGGCTATGTCTTCGGCTACTCAAATATTTTACGTTTTTGATACTAAATTAACTTTTGAAGTATAATTTTTTATTGTTTTTATATTTTTCAATATATTTATTTTGTTTGTACAAAATAAAAAAATAATTTTTAATGATACAATAGTCTTCGTTAGGCTTAACATCAATGAAAATTCTATGCAAAGCGACACGCAACGGAGAAAAATTTCAATGTGGGCTAGGTTAATATATTTTTTTGTACATAATTGGTTATCCGAAATATCGATTTTCCGAACAACCCCAGTCCCCAATTGATTCGGATAAACGATGCTCTACTGTAATTGTATTATATACAAATCAATGAAATGCCACGATAATTTGAATCAGTGTAAATTTTGAGCTTTTTTTAAGGCTTTGAGCAGACCATATTATATCAAAACAGCATTAATCGAGAAAGTGCTAAACGAGGTCTTACTATACTTTTAAAAAATATAAAAGTCAAAGTGTAAAACCATTTATAAATACAACAACCAGTACATCATGTATAAATTATTATATTTTTAAATTTCATGTAATAACTTCATTGGAAAAGATTACAAGTTATACTAATACACATTGAGCTATATGACTGTTTTTAATTCATGTATTTATTAAAAATCACAAAGGTTTAAATCCTGATCCTTATAGTGGTATGAAAATTTTATATCATACAGCATGTTTCTGAATGATCATATAATAAATAAGTTATATATTTCGTCAAATAAATCTCAGTCATTATATGAACATTAATTATTTCCAAGAAAAAATTGTAAATGTTTATAGATTAATGTATAAAAAGTATGTTTTAATGTGATAATTAGTTTCATAATGACAAAAGCATACAAACTCAAGTTAGATCTTAACTTACAGACAATCACAGAAACCAGAGCTTTTTATCCTCCTTGAAATTGTCATTACCACATTAACATTTTAGTAAAATACAAATTAGCATATAAATATTATAATTAAGAATGTTTGAAAAAATAATGCTTAATAACATGTTTAAAGATAATTAGTTTTATAAAAGTAAAAATCTCATTGAAAGAGTATTAAGAATGGTTATATAATATCAACTGCACATTGGGTTGTATACAATACATTAAATCTGACTTACAGAACCTATAACCGATGTGTATCCAATTGTTCATTAATGAACAATTGGATACGCATTGGTTATAAGTTCTGTAAGTCAGATTTAATGTATTGTATTAAGAATGGTTCATTACTTCTGATGACTATAGCATTCAGCATGTTAAAATCTACCAGATCTGAAGATAATTTATCTTATTTTGGTTTTGATTTCTCTCTCTGATTTTTGGTGGAATGTTAGTTAACAATAATATAAATCTACTGCATAATATTTTTGTTAACAAAAAAACTTAATCTATCAGTTTGATATGTACTAATTATTTTAGGTGATGTTGATACTATCTGCCGTTGCATTGTTGCTGGCTTTTTTGCTAATGCAGCTTATTTGCATCATTCTGGAGATTATAAAACAATCAGAGGAGAACATACCCTTCATATTCATCCATCTTCAGTGGTGTATAGCCAAAAACAACCACAATGGTAAATAATCAGTAGCAAATTATAAAAATATAAAATTCTATTTATTTCGTTTTAACATATAGTAAATAGGGAAAGGGAAACAGGCAACCAAAAATAAACAGATTTTACTTTAATTTTAAGTTATTTTTATATTAATTTTCATAATAATATATGTTAAATAACACACAAACATATGCATACAGAAATGTAAAGTTTATTTTTTGTGATGAAGGTCCTGGCTCTTCTGAAATTCTTGATTTTTTTTTCTTTAAGCAAATGTCAGTAGCAGATTGCATCCAAAATGCTTCATCATGCTTTTGTACTCCTTTCAAAATTTGGATTATTTCCTACAGTTTGGTAATGATAACTGAAATCATTGATCAAACTTTTACTAAGGAAATCTGTAGAGAAATTCTTTGGATTCTTCAGGAATGAATATGTAAAAAATGTGAGTCGCACATTTTTTATATATTCATTGCTGTATGTTGTGCAGTTAAGTATTCTTTGGGTTCTTTGTTTTCAGAATCACTGTTTTCCAGTTCTACATGAATTCCTTGTTCTGCCAGTTCTTGAAAGTTGTTATTGGTAAGGTTCTCACCAGAAACCTGTAATGACTCCTCAATATCCTGCTCGTCTACATCTCCTAGTCTTGCTGTATCGATCAGGTTGAGTTTGATCAACCTAATGATACAGTGATAGGCTCTTCTTGTTGAGAATTCTTGGATACCTCCAGCCATACCTTCTTCCATACCCCATTCATGCATTTTTCAGCTAATTCTTGCTAAGTGAAGTCAATATTGCATATGGCAAATGTGATATATTTTTTTCCAAAATTGCACCAAACATACATTTAAGGAAAGTACAGTGCTGTGATGAATTGCCACCTTTTGCTGATTGATTCGTGTTTGGGAATACAGTAGAGCGTCAATTATCCGAAAGAATTCCAGTCCGCAAATTTAAATTTTCGCCAGTGCTGTGGCGCTGCAATCTTTGGCTATGTCTTGGGCTACTCAAATATTTTACGTTTTTGATACTAAATTAACTTTTGAAGTATAATTTTTTATTGTTTTTATATTTTTCAATATATTTATTTTGTTTGTACAAAATAAAAAAATAATTTTTAATGATACAATAGTCNTGATACTTCAATTTGAAATTTATTATTTTAATTTTTTGACATTTACAAACATTTCTCTTATATTTTTTAATATACATTTATTATAATAAAATATAGATTTAGTGTCATGATTATCCTCTCCTAATCTTTATTGTCCATAGATCTTGTTTTGACAATCATGGTTTTATCAATACACTATATTTCTGGGATAGAACCTTATACCCTGTTCGCACTGAGCATTTCGATCTAGATTGTGACAAAGGTCGGAGACTGTTCCGTGGTACAAACGCTCTCGACCGTTTCAATCTTGACTGAAACGAGGTTCAATCACGATCGACTGGAGAGAGTTCTCGAAACTAGATCCAGACATAAGAGAGATCCCACAATCCCACGCGCGCGAGAAAATACAAGATGGCTGCGAAACACGTGTCGGGCTATCAACAGAGAAATAAAAATGACATCTGGAGAGACGACAACATCTGTCTATTATTAGATGGCAAGAAAAAGTATTTATTTCTAACCAACACTTCCATTTTGTTTGTTGGTGTTTGCGACTTACCGCGTAGTTACGTCAGTTTTATGATCGCGTGTAATAGCCAGGTTCTTCTCGAGCGGACTGCCTGTGCAAACAGCACGAAGTTCGACTAGCGACAGTCACAATCCAGATTTTAGGAAAATCAAGATCGAAGTGAGTCGTGGATTGTGTGCAAACATAGTATTAAGCTTGCTACACCCAAAGAATTGATTCCAGAAGTAAAAAATTCCAGGAGTTTCTGAAGTTTTTACCTTCAACAGTATAAAAGTGCTGCAATCAATTCTTTAGTCAAACAATGATTGTATTGTTGAGTAAACACAAGAGGAATAGGCCTCAATTCAGAAGTTGAAGAATTTAAAAATTTTTGCAATTCCAGGAATTTCCTGGCAAATTCAGGAAAGTTGGCAACTCTGTTGGTAGACAAGAAATACTTGTGTATGTAGTCCTGCAGTTTGTGAGATTGCCACACATTTTACTTTGTTGTCCCACTATTCCTTTAATTGCATTGATAATCCTGCAAAATAAGTTATTTTGTATACAAGTATCCCTCATACAATGTGATTTCACTCTAACAGTTTGAAAATCTAGGAAATCTCCCATACAACATGGTTGCTGGTTTCACTCTAACACAGTACAAAATTTCACAACTTTTAAGTGCAAACTCAATTCTTTTCACCCTCATATTTTTTTTTGTTGAAATTTTGCAGGGAGGTTTGTTTATTAGGTTTGATACTACTGTATTAAATTTTGGTGGCTAAAGGTCAAGGAAGTGGGGAGATAATGGAGGTTGTGTATCTCTGGTAGGGTTGGACTTAACAACTCTATCCTCAAAATTAAGATTTTTGCCATTTTATAATGGTTAAAAATGTAAAAAGTATTTTAATAAAATATAACAACTGATGCCACTACTAAAATTTAAAATGTTGCCAGGAAAGTTGAGCAACTAATTGCTGGTTTATTTTGAAAGATGCACTTAAGTTTAAATCATACCTTGTTATATTTGTGCTGTGGCTACAACTACATAACATTTGTAAAGTTCATTGAAAATGGGAAGAAAAGTGCTAAAATCATTATGAAACTATTATTGTATGGTGGGATCATTTTTTTCAAATAACAAATTGATTAAAAGAACTCTGAGCTGTGGAACAAGATAAGATTATTATTTGAAAAAAATGATTTCACCATATAATAAAGTTTTGTAATGACTTTTTAGCATTTTTTCTTTCTTTTTTTTTTTGTTTCAACAAACTTCACAGATCACACACTTATGATGCATGACCATGTAATAGTGCAAATGCTCATACCTTTCGATAAGTGCTTCTTTCAAAAAAGTTTTGATATAGGGTTGATATGCAATAAAAAACAAGTGGTTTCCATTTAAGAGTGAAGTTAACACTTTTCACTGATTGTAGTGCCATATATGACAAAACTATTTTTGGTTCATGATTCTTTTCATTAGATGCTTGTCTTTTGAGTTATTCCACTGGATTGATTAAAATAGACCACCTTATGTATATATGTAGTGTATACATACATATATACATACTTTTTCAAACATTTTCACAGCCTGTTTTATTTGAAACAGAGTTCATGTCATTGGCTTGCTTATGCAGATGGCCACTGACTAAATGCAGCATATTTTAGCACAGTTAATATACATAAATCATTGAAGTGTACTATAGTAGAGCATCAATTATTGGAACCAATTAGGGACTGGGGTTGTTTAGAAAATAGATTTTTTGGATAACCGATTACGTACGAAAAATATATTAACCTATCCCATGTTGAAATTTGTTCAAATCTGGCACGTCCTTAAGTACCCTCTCATGATTGCACCAGTGCTGCCAGCTAAAATACACACACCAACAAAAATAATATTGGAGTAGCCTAAGACAGCCAAAGATTGCAGCGCCACAGCCCTAGCAGAAATTAAAATTTGCCAAATGCCAAGCTTTTGGTTGATCAATATTGATGCTCTACTGCAGTTACAATATATATATTAAAATTATATTTATCCCTCAAAATATTTAGTTGATAAGTCTATTATTTTACATTTCACATTTTAATCATTAAAAAAAGCTAATTTCTGTTAAGATATTTGTGTACATGTTTTTTTCTTAAATTAAATAGATTTATTTATTGTATGAAAAAAATCTTTATTTCAATACTTTCAGATAAATACATAAATTAATTTTCAGCAATATTTATTACATCTGTACAAAATGAAATTTTGAATAAACAACCAATCTTCAAATTTTAAAATATACGAGAAGGCACGTTTCTCAGTTTCATTCTACTTCTGTTCGTCAGTTTGGAATTTTACTTACCTGGGACACCAGGAGATGATTTACCTAGTGTGCCCTGTTTTAAAAAAAGAGGCCTGATTCGTAATGGCGTCGGATTCCCTAGAAAACAATTATACATGCATTAGAAAAGGTGCAAGTTTTGGTTGTTTAAAACAAATCTGTTTAGTTTAATGTTTTATTAACAAAAATGACTAACTTTTAGGAAAGGAAAATTTAAAAAATTAACTAGCTCCAGAAACAAACATACTCACTAAATCATCTCATATCTGGAGTCCTCTGTTAAACATTAATCAAAAATATAATTACTTTGAGAAACTTTTACTATTACTTTCTGAGGATTGATCATTCAAGATCGAAGGAGTTGGGACTTTAAACATTTTAATGTTGGACATAGCTTTAAATCTTACTCAATTAAACAATAAGAATTTACCAATGGGGATAATTTTTGTTTGGGAATCACTTTCTTCTTCGTAACTTCCGAGAGAAATGAAAGATGGCTGTTCAGAAAGAGGCTCTGCCGGATGAGCTTTACCGCTTTCGCGGCTACGAATAAAGGAGGGACCTGGATTACTTCTGCAGAGTTTAAAATTTTATTTATATTCCATGATAAAACTAATGCAATTGTGAATGTAGGATCTGCTTACTTACTCTTCCTTATTTTCAACCAACATTTTTTTTGTTGGTTGAGTTTCCAACTCGTCCAACTTTCTTTTCTGTCCCCTTTTTGTTGAATGTTTCATGGGACACTTATCCCCATTTTTGCAACTTCCATTATGTAAGTAATCTGGACAAACTAATGTGTGTGTCTTCTTGCACTATAATGTGAAATTTTATATTATGAACCAACATAAAACAACAAACCAACTTTAGTGTTTGTAATGAACTAAAAAACATTATCCTGAAATCTAACTTTCTAATTGTTAAGAATTTCTTCCTAAAATTAAGAAAAAACAACATGACAATGCATTTTGTTCATATTTAAAAACATCTGGAATCACATTGTCAAAACTTTATTTTGAGAATGAAAAATACTTACATTTTTTTTTATCTAAAATTCCATAGATATCATACCTTTTGACCTACTGGACAGTAACCCCGTAAAAAATCTTTGCAAACTTCTGCTTTTCGATTAACTTTAACATGGCGATAGGGACAGTTATCGCTATTGCAACGGCCCTGCAGATAAAAAGAGCAAACCGGCATCTTTTCGGGAGCAACTTTATGTGAAAATGGACAATCCACAACTTTACAAGTACCCCTCAAAAATCTAAATAAAGCAAAACTGTTAATATGCAAAGCATATATAATGATAATATAATCAGAATTGATCAATACCTTGTACAAACTGCAATCTTATCTGCATCATGTTTATATGGACATAGTTCACCTTTGTTGCATCTACCAAACCGATTATAAAACATACAGTACAAGTTGTTTTTAGAATGGGACTTTTTTTGATCAACAGCTAACATATGATATATGCTTCGATTAACCACACGACTATATATGAAATTATTTAAAATCACCAATCAGTATTTTTTAAATTTGGAATTCTAAAAATTTTATGAATATAAAAATAAAATACAAACTTCACAAAAGTTCTGGCTTGAGATGATGATGTTTTTGTCAGTATACCAGGTTTAGTTTGAATGTAAGTATCTCCACCCAAATCTATTCGCTTGAGATTTTTCCTTAGAGTTGTGACTTGGGATTCTAAAAAATGTATAATTAATATAATTATTAACAAATATTCAAAATTTATACAAAGCTGTACAGGCACTCCTCACTTAAGAACAGAACTCTGTTGTTATGACTAGGTTGTTGGCTTATTGATCAATAAACAAGGAGCTTAATCATTTTTTTGGATAAAGAAAAAGTCTGAAAGGAAACTCCAACTTGATAACAGAAAACACAAATACAATCAACAAAAATTACAAAAATAATGTACAAAAAAGAATTATTAAAGTTTTTATCAAAAACAAGTATTTAGAAGCTGAAACAATGCTTAATTTCAAGGCTTTTTTGTGTATGTAGGACCTTTTGGGCGTTTTTTCTATATAAGTGCTGTTTTACCCACATTGAAGGTCTGTTCTGAATGGTAACCTCATTTATCAATAATTTCATCAACTGGTTGGCAAATTTTTGTTTCTATGCCCATGCTTACTATTTCTCTGATTATATAGATTGAATCTCTGACAAAACTATTGAAATCATCCATGCCTTGCCATAACTATTTTTGCCATTCTTCGCTTTCCTGCACCTTCAAAATCTCAAAAGATATTGTGTGCCTTGACTTAAATTATTAAAAGATCCATCTCCATCCTTTTTCATATCTGATCGTCAAACCAGATCACCAGTAATTTCTTCATTTCATTTAATGAGGCCTTTCCATTGCCTATTTATTATGGCTTCAAATCCTGTTGATCACTGTCTCTTTCGCCCTATCTTTATCCTTCAAGATCATGAAAAAAGTTGAACGTGCCAGCTACAAGACACATGCTGCCATTAACTTTTTTACCAGATTCATAATCATTTATGATCTCATTTCCAGATCAACAGCTCCATTGATTCTTGGCATTTCCTCCAGGTGAAATCATGTTCTCCTTTTTATTGATATCTAGTACTATGAGGTGCATGATAAAATACAAATTTATAAACAAACTGAGTCTTGGATATTACAAACATTTTGTGTAGTGAATACTAACTGACAAAACTAGGAAATGAGACTGAACTTGTAAGATTAAGAATGGGAATTCTCCATGTTAGAGTGCTGGTCATAAGTCTGCATGGTTGTTAAAACAGATAAGTTGTTAAGTGAGGAGTAACCGCATGTCAAAATATTATTACCTATATGAGAAGGTTGAATAGGAAGTCTTTTTAACACTTTTCCAGAATGATCCATTCTGTATCTGATTCCACATATTAATAGTGTTTGATGTTTTGCTTCTGGTAAAGTTGCATTTCATCAATAAACTTATATAATTAAAAAAAATTATTAAAAGTCAATTTTCTTACGATTTCTTGACACTGGTTTATTTTGTGATGATTTACAGGCTCTCGACAATTTTGTCTTTGATACATTATACAACAGACCTCCTATCATTACCATTCTTGATTTCAGAAGCGGATTCTTCTTCACTTGTTGTGCACTATTAATATTTTAAATTTAAAAAATTAATCATATTTACAATATTTACAGATTATTGAATTACTAATAATCATTAATTGGTATTCTTGTAATTATGAACAAAAATTTTAAATACACATAATACAACAGAATCCTGATTAACAGAGGTTCATTTTTTGACAAATCTGTAAGTACTTTTTTTTATACTATAATTCCTAAATGCTTTGCATAAATAAATACCTATGAAAGGAAGGAACAACCATAAAACAAAAAACTTGAAAAGACTTTTTAAAGAAAGTTTAAAATGATCTGTTTATGTTACCTTGTATCTAACTTCAATGTGAAACAAACCATTTATATGTAACTATAATACAGTCGACCCCCCTATAAGATCATAGATACGTTCCATTTTTTTAGGAATCCGATTTCTTACAAGTCGTTCCAATCACAGCCCGACACGTGTAAAGTTTACGGACTACGGCTGATTGAAAGGTTTTCTTCCATAAAATTAATCGATTCTAGACTAATCCGACTCAACATTTCCAAAACACATATATATTTTTTGGAAATAATCCGTATAAACTACGCTATAAACAAAAAATTGTAGGATTACTTACTATTTGACATCGCCATTGCTAAAGCTTGTTTTCGTTGCGAAGCAGCACACCAAACCACGACCGATTTCTGATAATTTATTTTTCTGCGAAAACTTCGTTGAACTTCGGAGACATCATTAATATAAATAATTTTAATCGCCGTTGAATAAGAAATGTTTCTTTCACAAGAAATGTATAAAATTACAGTACTGTATTAGACTTACGGTACCTAATTTACATACTGTACAGATGATAGTTAGCGTAAAAATCTCCGTAGCGTGGCGCCACGCTAGACGGCGGAAATTATATATTTAATTATAACAAAGTTACAATAAGTTAATATATAATTATATATACAGTACCTAATTTATATATAATTAATATAGAATTATATGTACAGTACCTAATTTATATATAATTTATATAATACTGTCCAGACGATAGAAATCTCTCCGTAGCGTGGCGCTACAGACGGCGGGAAAGTAGTTCGGCTGCCCGATGACGTTTTAACGTAATTATAGGGGTTTTTTTACTATTTTTTACGGATACCGTCACAATTTTTTCGCAGTTTTATAGGAATCGTAATTATTGGGACCGTAATTATAGGGGGTCGACTGTAATACATTTTTATTGTTAAAACTACTGCACATATATTAGCTGTGTAATAAATATTGTAAAGAATGTCATTTTTATATAAGATTAAATTCAATAAGATATGAAAAAGGGAGCTTAAAGTGATATCATATAAATCAGTTATATTTGTAATTTTAAATCCAAAATGACCATGGCTATTTATTTCATCTAAGTTTTCAGTTATCCAAACAAGCATCAGTTCACATTATTTTGGATATATCAGGGTTCTATTGAACTTGAATTTTTACAAAATTCAAAAAATTAAATATATTTTATTTTACACAATTTATTAAAATCAAAGTTATACCTTAATTTTGACCAAAATACAATCAAAAGTGTTTCACAAAATACTTACATTTTACCAGTATATTTCCTCCTCCTAGATGCTAAGAATTGTTTCCTCAACTTTTTAGAATGCAAAGTATTTCTTTTAATATAATTTTTATGTACATTGTAATAAGGATTTCTCCAATGACGATTAATCCAGCTCAATGACTTTGGATGTTTTCCTAAATGTGATTAAAATTAGAATTCTAAATTATCAAATAAAAACTTTATTAAATTTAAATTTACCTGAAACTCTTGGCTGATTTCTATACACTAATTTCCATGGTGAAGATACATAATTTCTCTTCTGATATGTCATATTTTTTTTCTGTTTTCCTTTTAAAGTTTGTTTCCAATTAATGCTATTTATTTTATCTGGTGTCTTATTAACAACCTTATATTTGGTCTTTAGAATTGCTTTCTTACTTCTACTATTAAATGATTTGTTTAACATATACAATTTATTAGAATTCCCTAGCAAATTGTTCTTCTCTGGCATCTTGTTTTGTACATTTTGTAACAGTTTATTAGCAGTAACTGACATAGTATTTGTCTCAGGCAGCATAGTGGGAGTATTCATTTGTAATCTATTCGTACCACCTGCTTGTATCTTACTAGTTTGTGGTAAATTATTTGGCAGTTTAATTTCAAATAATCTGTTACTATTAATTGGTAAATTTTTCTTCTCGGACAGTTTCGGTATGGCTTTTATTTGTAATAATCTATTAGTAGATTTTGTGACAGAAATATTTGGTAATTCTTTTGTATCATTCTTGAACACTTTCACTTTATCAGAAGGATAACCAACAGAAATAGATTTTGATTGATCTTGAATTGTTACTATTATTGGTGAACACTGAATTAGATCCTGAAGTTTGGATGATTTGTATTCAGACTTGACAACAGATGATACCTGCTGGTTTGTCTTGGACATTAGTGTTTTCTGTTCAACAGAACTTCTGTTAGGCAATGCAAATGTTCTTTTTGACAGGGAATTATAAATAGTCCTATCTATTTTGTAAGGATTTGTGTTTATTTTTAAAATTCCACTATGTGCATGACCCTTATTATTTTGCAATTTGTTCACTTGAAGATTAGGATTTCTTCTAAAATTACTAGGATGTGTATTACTGGTAAAAAGTTTTGAAAATTTTCCTGATTGTCTGTATTGAGTATTGGCAGCTTGAGATTTATGATTATCTATTAATCCTGAAATAACAAATTTTTCATTAATAATCAAAAATTAATACAGAACATTGAAGTTATTAACAGGAATGCACTGCTTAACAAGAGATCCCATAAGATTATTATAAAACCAAAAAATTTGTAATTGCCATCACATGACACAATGTAGCTACACCACAGGTTATGTAAAAGTATATATAATGTCCAAAAATTTTATGGAATTAAGCATTTCAGAAAATTTCTAAACATTAAATACTATAATGTATTGTCTCATTATAAATGCACTACAAATATAATTTTACAATAAAACCAGTTTTAAATACTTGAAAGAGCTTATTTTACTGTATCTTTTCTTTGTTTAGATATATAAATACTTATCACAGTGTTATATATAGCTTACATATTATACAACATAACAATTGTCGTCAAGTATACACTATAAATGTCCACTTAAGGAATGTATCCCAGTCATTAAGCATGCATACCTGTAGTGAAAATAATGACAATTCTCTGTGTCACTTTTAAATAATTAATCAAAAAATCATAATAGAAATTAAAAGAACATATTAACAACAGCTATTGTTTAATGTACATTCAAAGAACAGTTAGTTGTTTCTCTAAATATATAATAATTTAAGGAGCAGAGATTCTGAAAAATAATATAGAATTATATAGCACTGGTTAAAAAATAAGAAAAACAGGATGCATTTAAAGTTGTTAGTAGCTTCCTGGAATGAGTTTGACATCTATTTAAAGTTGACTATAAAAATCTATTTATAACTTTTCAAAGTTAAAATTTGTTCAATTTCAACTTTTCTTCAATTTGCATGCATTAGAAAACTAAAAAATTAAATTTTTTACACTTAACATTCAGTTAAAATCGTTCATAAATACAAGTCCTCACTTAATATTTTTTTGTTATATGTTGAGGAAAGAATGAAAAGATACAAGTACATTTGTAATCATTTACAATTATCATGGCTGAATTTTCTTTATAAGCAGTAAAATCGATTCTAAGAAGTTAAAAATAAATGTTGAAGATTACAAACACAATCCAATTAGAATAGTATTAACCAAATTATTTGTTGTTTCTATCAATTAACCTACGGTAAAATTAGTTTTTGCATTATATGTTGTTTTGCTTAAGATTGCATTTTCCAAAAACCTATCAATAATGGGTTCTTGGGAAATTATACATATATGTAATTATTTATATTTAACTTTTCTACAATTCTTTTATTAACAAAAAACAGAATATTGTTTGGTACTAAACAGATGTAACTGTTTATGGTTCATAAATGATGACTTTTCCGTACAATTAATTGAAATGTTATAATAAAAAAATTTCTTAACATGAATAACTATTGAAATTAATAAAATTAATTGTATCAAACATTAAACTTTTTGGTATTCATCTGTTAAAATCCCACATGGTTCTGAGGTCGTGCCATGTGCTCTGCTGCATTGCTCAGAGAAACAGGAGAGCCTGAGTGGTGACTAAATCAATTAATTATGTTTTATGCAAATCAAAGACTGAATTAAGTTTTATTTTGACTTAATATTTAAATATATTTTAGTTTACACAATTAGAATATTTGCTTAAGAAGTTAAATTTATCATGCAGTGTTTAATATTATGTGACAATATCAGATAAGGCGATGATGTGTGAATCTGTGTCGAAGGGACAGTTTGTGGAGAATTGATTATTCAATCAATTTTAGGAATTTATGTCTGAAATTGATGATTTTTTTTTGTGTTCTACACAAACCTGGTATATGTTTTAGGCAAAAAAATAAACTAAATTGGTATACTGATCAATCAAAATTGAGATCATTTTTAATGAAAAATAGGTTTCATAATCATTTATCATTGTTAAATAATAGTAGCCAAAGAAATTACTTCAAAATAAAGAAAATTATCACAGTAAGTTATTTTCCTATAAATTTTAATTCAAGGAATATTAATAGATGTAACATAATCAAATTATTTCCTTATATTATTTAGAAAAATCATTTCATTAAATGTCAAATAATATTGAATGATGAATTTCTGAAAACACCATTTCAAGTCTGACACACTTTTTACATTTGTGTTATTTGTACTATTCTAGAAAAAAATCATTTTGTTAAATTTGAATTTTTGAATAGCATGGTATTTTGTCTTCTCCAAAAAGTTTCTTTTCTTTCCTTTATTTTTGATAAAATTGAAATAAATGTGAATTTTGATTTCTTGAAATGCATGATATTTTGTCTATCATGAATTTCTATGGTCAGATGCATACTGTTGGAAGAGATGCGAGATGCAACACACCACTTGATGCTTTAACAATGAGTATCAACTTTAATTTTATGTTATTTGTTTTTTAATAACAAATTATGATTTTATTTTTGTAATATTTTTTGACATTAACAAAAACATTGTGAACTTATTAACTAATTATGCTGAAAATTTTCACAAAATCTGGCAGTTGATTTTTATTTTAAAAAATTAAGACAATAAAGTTAATTTTTTATCTGATATTATTATTATAAATGTTTAAAACTGTAAGAACTTTAAAACTATAATATTATGTACTTTATAGTAATGTGATAATATGAAGATATAAGAAGCTTCATAATCACTCTTATTCCTGTTACATTGAAAAACTTAAAATGCTGCAGTCATGAACTGTGAAGAGCAATATAAGGATCCATTTATAACTGTGAGGCCCAGGATTTAAAATACTGTAGCTGAGAACTGAATAATTTCTATTCATTTCAAACTAAAACGATTTTTTTAAAGTTACGGTTAACTCAAAAAGGAAAAAACAACCGACAAATTTTCTCATAAAAATCGCTCATAAAAACTCCTTTCCCACCACAATACTTCCCTGTAGAAGATGAGTTAACTGTTGTGTCATATTTAGTCATTTCACCCACCATTGGTCAAAGAAGATCATCACCTATGACGTACAGGGAGAGATCTCGAGAAGATATCCCCCCATATAAAAGAAACTGTGAAACCACCGACGGGGGGACAAGTTTTCCTGAACTGTGAGTGTGAATCGCCTGCCTCTCGTCGCCACCGTCTTCTAAAGACTTTGATTACGACTTGAACTCAAACTATAGTTATGAGCCCAGGATTCGGACTCCGAGATTGTCCTGAACCCTTCAACTTCTACAACTCGAGGTATTTATGCTACTCGCGATGATATGTAAGCTCTCTCTCGAATATTCCAAACTCGCGGTTAGGGTCGCGACAAATGAACTATACGGATTGAAATTCCCGAAGCAAGGGATCTGTACCTTCGACTCCGTAAATAATTAAGTATGTATAAATGTACGGAATAACCAGAATAAACGGGTATTTTGTTAACGAACTTGGATTGGTGTGCGTTTCTTCCGACATTTTCCACTCCATCCTGAACCCGAAGTCCTTGACGAGATCGCTCGTGATAAATTCCCCATCCATCCGCATATCTATCCGCGATAACTTGATAGATTGGTGTCAGACAGGTGAAAGAATCTAACGATCCTTTCTCCTAAACCCTTTTTCCCCATCCTTTAGACAAGCGAGACCGGACCTCAAGGTCTTGAGTCGAGTAAGTGGTAGGAGAGGAACATCCTCGTAACCATCCTACCCCCGATTAGTCTCACATAACCATAAACTAGTAAGACTTTACAAAATCTGAATAAGGATTTAATATGAAATCAATTAGAGCACATAAACTATTATAATCAACAATATAATATTAGTTAATACATTAAAAATAATAAATATTTTAGAAAATTCTGGTCTATTTCTTTTAACACAAATTTTCATATAATCTATAATACAAAAGAAATTGTTCAGTATGTTCATCACTACCATCACCTTTTATCAAAATAAATAGTTAGAACAGAACAGATAAACAGAAATAAAAATGATTAAGACAATCGGGAAGAGTAAATTGCCAATCTTGCTTCCAAAGATTGCCAGACATAATTTTCTGTGTGCAGTAATAGAGTTGTTAGTGTTATCCCAAGCAACTGCCTATATATTTTAACTGTGTTCTAGTTTGCCTGCCTCTGTTGCCATTTATAGAATTGGATAGTTATAAAAACAGAAATTTGATGACAGGATACTATTAACTGGCTGTTATTCTAGTGAAAGTCACTATGAGTTAACAGCAATTGGTTTTGGTAAGATGTCAACTCTGAATGAGAGGTTTTCCCCACCCACAGAATTGTAGACCCCCTGTACAAGCAAAAAAGTCAAAAGAACCATACCTGTATACATGACCCTTTGCAAGATATTTGCCTCCAAAGGTGTTTTAACTACGTACCAATCAGTATACTCCTATTCACCATGCTCTGCATTCTGTACGTAGTCATGCGCTTCGGCGTGAACACCTTAGCATCCGTTATATGTGGAATACTTGATGTTATATAGTTTTAGGGTGTGTGAGGCTTGCCCCTGCATTCCCTAAAACTATATAACGTCAAGTATTCCACAAACAGTCAAGCAGACCACTTAAAGCCAGCATAGTCGTGCTAGTCGTGCATGCTAAATAGTTAAACAAGACAGTCGAGAGATAGCCCCCAAAATCACATCATGCATAATGTGATTTTTGGAAGGGCTATATCTCACACAGAATCACACGTAGAGGTATTTCTTTCACTCCCACGGGTACAATCTATAGCTCCAATAATGTCTCAACCATCTCATGTAATTGTACCATTGGTTTGTTTTTATAAGTCTCCAAAGTATAACAGCATTTTGCAGTTTAAAAAAAAAAAAAGTAATTAGCTTTATAAATAATACAAAAAGCCCTCCTGAGCTAAAATCTTATCAATCATTTATATAATCTAATTGACATTGTAAATGGCAAATTTAATAATAGAATAATGAAATTCCGCGTAATTTAAATAGTAGAATGTTTTCGCGAATAAAATGACGTAACTATATGAAATAGACAGAAAAACATCTGAAATCGAACAATTTTTAAACACGAGAAAGTGATTTAAAATGGAGGTCAAATGAGATCACACCCAAAATAACGAAAATGGAAGAATATTTCACTTACTTGATAAATATTGGATTTCGTTTATTAGTTTCTGATTCTCCATTTTGCCGGACATTATTAAAAATTTCGGTTAAATTATAATTTGTTTCGTTTCCGAATTACTTTAAACTGAAACCGTCTTCGCAATGTCGAAATACGTCACATGCATCGTCACACAACCAAACGTTAGTCATACGAGATTACGTCAGTCGAAAGGTGACAAAATATAATGACAATTTTAATATTTGAAATATGTTTAAAATCAAAATTATTTTCCTAATGAAATATAATAATTTAAGATTTATCTATTTTAAAATAATATTAAAAATTTATAATTGTTTTTAATTTATATTCTTCCGCAAGGTGGCGAGATATAACTTGAAATATGGAATTTAAACTTCTATTTTTTTTTTTTTTACAAACACATAAAAAAAATTATGACAATATGTAAAAGCATAAGAAGAATTATAATTATCATTTTTTAATACTATTTATTCTGTTTTGTTAGGTTCGGCAACCGAGCACTATGGGACAACCAGGTGGTGAAGATCGGGGTCTAACATATCCGTGTCGGACCATCCTTAAAAATTGCGATCAAACTCGAATTTGGTGCTGTTCCGTTAAAATCGGCCCACGCGAATGACAAACTAAAGAAAACAATGAAAATCAACACACATAAAGTGTACTCTTTTACGTCAATTTGACGTCATTTTTTACATTGTTTATTGTAAAACCGAAGAGGCGACGTTAAAGTGTACACTTTTTGGATAAAACGAACAGAGCTAACGATTGGCTATGTTAATTGTGACACAAAAAAAAGAAATGATTAGTAAGTTAGAACCACTCTTGACGCAGAGTATTGTCTTCATTTTGCCACCTATATTGGATTGGATCGATGGAATAAGGCAACGTAATACAAGGCAAAGGGAGGGATAATTTCTATGAGAAATTGATCGTGTGTGAAGAAAATCTAAAAATATGCACCAAGCACGTCGATCAGGCGCAAATCGGTGTTCAGTGGTTTTTTTTATGTGAATACTGGTACTCAGTGGCGTAGCGTGGGTGTCAGACGCCCGGGGCGGAGGAAAATTTCACTGTTCCTTTATTTAGGTATCTCAATTTAAAAGACTAAAATTCAGTTTCGTCACAGAATAAGTAATGCAAAATTCCGTGCTAGTGTTGCCACCTTTTTAAAATCGCCGACCCTGACCGCAGGTGAGGTTTGTTCGAACAGAAGTTCCTGACTCATGCGTATATCATTTTGTAATGAAGAATAATTTGCAGTGCATGCTGGTTCTAAATCAGTTAAGGTTAGCGACTAGGGAGACTTGGGTAGGAGTAACGCAAGTAATGTAGATGACTTAGCCCTATTGGATATTGGAGGTAGAGCCGGCCCTACCATAGGGCAAACGGAGCAGCCGCTCCAGGCGCTAAGTCTTAGGGGGCGCCTCAGTGATAAAAAAATTAAAGGGTATAAATTAGGGGCAACGAAGAAAGGCGCCATAATAGGATTTCGCTCCATCCTAAAACTTGCCTCGGGCCGGCACTGATTGGAGGTGTATATGAGTACGAATGAATCGTACAAGCAAAAAGAAATAAAATAAAATAAAATAAAGGTCGACAGGTCGCGCAAGATATCCCAGGACGGCGAGTCGGATGGTAACACTATTCCCACTATTCCGTGCTCATTTGAATCGGTCCGAATCGTAGGTGCACGAAAATATGAAATAAAATGGTTCAAATTCTTACAAGATATTATTATTATTTATTGTCAAATTTTGCCGCCCCCTAAAAAGTGCCGCCCGGGGCGGGCCGCCCCTGCCGCTCCCCCCCTACGCTACGCTATTGCTGGTACTGTACATCTACCTTCGGAAGGATAAAATGCTGCCTTTACCGCTTCATATATACGACTCCTAAATTACAGTTATCAAGAATATATGCTCAAATTTTTATTTTAAATTTGATTAAAATAGAAGCGTTGAAGAGCATGGGCGTATTTTGGAAAGGTAGAGGGGATCTACTTTCTTTAATATTTAATTTCATTTTTTCTGATGCAATTTCAGTGATTAAGAAATAAATAAATTCGGATTTAAAGTGATTTTCAAGTTAAAACATTGGTAGAAAAATTAATAAAATAGAGTTTTATGAGTATCGGAATAGTAAAAACTATAGTAAAAAAAGCTGAAAGAGACTCTTAGTCGACTTTCCTGGCATTCGAACAGAAGGTTAACGTGACCAAGGAAGAAGTCCGATAATTTTCAAGTTTACTAAGATATAAAATTTAAAATATACTTACTACCTTAGTTAAAAACACTAACAAGACATTCGCACAAAGTTAAACTGTTACGAGATTTTATTTTAAAATAATTCTTATATAGTTATATTATTAATTATTATTAAAAGATAGAAGGCTTAATTTTCAGAGTCGAGATGAGTTTCTAAAAACTTGTAAATACCAATAAGAGTGAAATTTTCATTATGTCTAATAACACTCCAGATATGAAACATGACCCCGTCTAGCTCCCCATCTTTAATTCAGTAGCATCAATGCCCATATTTAAAAATAATCCTACCGAATTTCAACATTTTTGGTACATCCAGTCCTAAGGTATAATACAAAATAAACACACAAACCAGCAAACACAGATTAACATTATTCTAGCCGCTGTAACTATACTTTCCGTGTTATATAACAGTATTTGTCTTGATAACATTTATCATAATTATATAAAAATTATTACTTCAATAAATATTTTCAAAATGATATATGCAAGATGATAAATATTGTTTCCATTATTACAAAATATATTTTATTCCCTGTAAAGGTTTCATATATAAGAAATAATAGTAAGCGTACGTAACGTGGTCCCATGGTGTAATGGTTAGCACTCTGGACTCTGAATCCAGTGATCCGAGTTCAAATCTCGGTGGGGCCTTGTGTTCATTTTTTCGTTATTTTTTTTAATGATTTTTTAGGTGAATAAAATTGTGATAAATATTATCGCTTTAAGTTAAACCTATATTCAATCAGTGCTGTAAAATTTTTGTTTTATAGCACTGATTAAATAAGTTCACAAAGCTACCTTAACCCAGTTACTTTAGTCAAGTAAAACAAATGGTTTAAATTATTTTTAAAAAAGTAAATAAAATTTAAAAAGTTATGAAATTTCATAACTTTCGTTATACATTTTCATATTGTTTCTGTTATAATAACATTTCTGTTTTGAGCTGTTATACGTAATATCTTCTCAGTTGTACGTTAAGAAATATGGCGTCCCTAGTCCTCAAAATTATATTATCACTAATTTGCACTGAATGATTCTATTTTATAATTTTAATTCTACAATAATTGTATTTTTAATTTTTTAAATGTCTGAATGCACTGCTATTGGAAACCCGTCGTTAGCACTCAATTCATGCAAAATACAGGGTGTTTATAAATGAATGGTGCGGTTTTAAAAATTAATAATAAATCTATTTATTACCTTATATGGACAAACCTTACAGCATAAGCAGCGGCAACTGCTCAAGTTTTTATGCGCTACCCGCTCTTCGTCTTGTCATGCACTGCAGACCATCACGGAGGACATGCTACACAGCGTATTGGAAGAATTTGATTACCGTGTAGATGTGTGTCGTGTGACCATGGGTGCACATATTGAAGGATTATGATTGATGCATAAAAAACTTGGACAGTTGCCTCTGCTTATGCTGTAAGGTTTGCCCATATAAGGTAATAAATAGATTTATTATTAATTTTTAAAACCGCACCATTCATTTATAAACACCCTGTATATTCATATATCAATACTAATCGCCCATTAGGGCCGAGTGTATAAAACCACTGAACACTGGTGGTTGGTCGTGGGTTCGCGTTTTGCCAATAGGCTGGCCACGGGGAGTTTTCTTGGTTTTCTTCACCTAAATATGAACCAGTTTCCATAAAAGACCTATCGGGAGGTAACCTCCTTGGCAAATCGCCCATGAGGCACGTAGCCGTAAATGAATAAGACCACCATTACTAATCAATCAATTTGTCTTATTTTGTCCTCCACTTAAGCTTTTAATTTGTACCAATTCCTTTATATTCATAATGAATTATTTTCATATTTTATTGTTATTGTTTTGATTTTTTGCGCTTCCAAACCTCTGCTTCCCTAGGCCCGGGCTAGTGGGCCTAATGGAAAATCCGCCACTGCTTCTTCACATAAAATGATATATTTTCTTCGACATTTCTTTAGAATGAAAAAATATTTATTGTTCAATTGTCAGTCTGAATTGCCGGCACCGCCATCATTTCGATCCGTCGAAGCCGGGTCCAGCAGTTCTAGTGTGAATCGAGCCTAATGCTTTTTCATTTGAAATTACTATTCAATAACAAATAACTAAACTTTCAATATGGTTTTCATTTTAATTTTTAGCCTTCTTATTTTTTGGTCGGGCAATGTCGCATGTATTTGCTAGTTATTAATACAGTAATTACGAACTTTAATAAAAACATCAATTTTAACATTATCTTTAAAAATTTTAAATACTCAAAATTAATTTCATTATTTCTAAAATCTCGTGGAACATTTTCATTTTTTGTTCAAGTACAAATCCAGACTGTTCCGTGAAAAACCGTATTTATAAAAGTACAAAATGAAGAACGCATTAGTAGTTCTGACTGGAACTCTCGACCCTCGGTGCGGAACTGTTCCGACTCGGAACTGTTTACTTCTACGCGCCACTTTGGCCTGTCATACGTTCGTCATCTCTACATGTTCAGTTGAGTTACTAACCAGCTGTCAAACTATTTTCTGAATATCCTAAGTTTCAAGAAATCATTGACAAATTGAGTTTGAGCTTTATCGTCTGTAAAAATAAATTGGAACCATATAACATTTTCAGAAGATTTTTACAGGATTTTATCCTGTAAGGATCTCTATAATCAGTTTGTATAAAGCTAAATAAAGCTAAAAACATGCCTGGCGATGTTCGAGATGGATAAAACAGCTACCACTCTGGAAACCCGTAATCGAATCCAGGGTCGAAAAGCTCTGGGAATTTCTCGTGGGTATTTTCTCAGATATATCAGACCCTGTCCCTCACCACTCGGCTATTCCATTGGGGCCTGGCCGAATCCACAATGGGTATTTAAAAAGATCTTCTTAGAGTCTACAGGGTGAGGCACTAAGGGCGAA